CAGGTGTGGGTGGGAGGGACAGCAGGTGTGGGTGGGAGGGACAGCAGGCGTGGGTGAGAGGGTCAACAGGTGTGGGTGGGCCCCTTGTATTTGGAGATTCTTCTGCTGCAGGGGTTTCCTGGTGTTGTAACCCAGGACTATAGACTAGATGACTTAGAACAGTAGGAAGTGGGACCAGCAGGTGGCACACTGGTTAAGGCACGGACTCCCACATGGCTGACTGCTATTCGCGACCCGGCCCTGGTGTCTTGCTTTGTCACCCCCCCACCCCATCTATAGTGAGCACATAAGCCTTATAGCAAATATAATAATAATAATAATAATAATAAATGTAACACATAAATAATCCTTAAACACGAAACAGAGACTGGGCTGGCCCTGAGGTGCAGTCCTAAGCGCTGTGCATGGAAGCCAGCTCCCTCAGGCCGATCGTGGTCTGACTCCCAGCCCCAGAGGCTTGAAAACCACACTGGGTGTGTGTGTGCGCGGCCCAGACCCTGGCAGGATGGAGGAGTGGAGGAGAAAGGATCGCAGCGTGACACGCCCAGTGGGGGTGCCTCCCACAGCCGGCCCTGGACAGAGGGCAGGTCCGCACCCACACGACCGGCTGTTGGGAACGAGGCGCGCCTGCTCTCAGGCTGCCTGTGCCGGAGTACGGAGGCCCCTCCTGTTTTACACGTCTGTAGAGCAAAGCTCTGGAGAAGGTGACCGATCAACCTGCTAAAAATGATATGTGACGAAGAAGACGTCAACACTTAAACTCAAGTCTGTGGGATGTGCACCCTAGTTTTTCTAGGAAAATCTTACTTCAGTTAGGGTGCTTTGGTCGCCATGGGTGTTGATGCCTTCAGGAATGCATGAGAGGGGGTGGCCCTCGGCAGCCGGAGTTATTCTTCAGCAAAGTGCGGGGCCTCGGAGGAGCCGTAACCACGGTGGCCTGGGAGAAGAGGGAGAGTTGGACGTAGCGGAGCGTGCGCCAAGCCTGGGGGGACTCAGCGGACGCCTGCCCGTGAGCTGGCCCCAACAGGGACGGCCAGGACGGGCCGGCGCAGAAAGGAGGAGATTGGAATTGCTTATGCTTGCTCTTGTTCCTCGAGGTATAATGCTTCATAAGAAAGTAATTTCAGTCGTAGGGGAAAAAGGGCATTGTATGTTTTACATACCTGAGTTTGTGGCCTGAGAATCATTCCACCAGAAATAAATGTTCGTATCCTGAGGTTTGTCCTTTGGTTACTATGCAGCAGAAGATTCTAGAACCCTTATGCCTGCCTCTGGCGTTGAGTGGCCTTGGAGAAGAGATGAGGAATATCTTCTGATTTGATACTTCTGAACTTTAACTCTGGATAACTATGGCTTTTTTTTGAAGTGCAATTGATCTTCGTCCGTTAGAAAAAGTCCGGTAACTGTTGAGACGTTGCTTACTTAACTGAGGACTGGGCTTTATACAATTGCAGGGCGGGTGCTGCAGCTTGTCCCGTTTTCCAGGTATGACCCAAGCTCCTCGGAAGTGCTTCACCCAGTCCGAAAGGTCCGAGGAAGTCTGAGAGTGTGACTTCTCGACACGAGGCACAGACACCCACAGCCCGGGGGTGGGGGGGTGACGCGTCTTCCCTGACCCCAGGAGGAGCTGCGTTCTGCCATGACGACCAGGGGATGCCGCAGGGGGCAGAGGTCTCGTTCGACAGCCATTTCTGACCCTAGGTCATTGTCCATCTGCCATTGCGCGGAAGGTCCGGGATGCTTCGTTGCCTTTGTCCCTAACTGTGCCCGCTGGCAGATGACGGAGCCTCGTCCCAGGTGGAAGCCCTCCCGAGGAACCTGGTTCAAGGCTGGGCGAGCAGTGATGTGCTTGGAGCGTCCTATGCCCAGGAGGGGCCACATGGGACTGGCAGGGAGACGGCAAGGAAGGAAGGAAGGCATCACAGGGCGGCTTGAGGAGGTGTCGCCCCAGTCCTCCTGGGCCCTCAGAGGTGGGCCGGTGGCTTCTTTACTTCAGAGGCATTTAAGTCTTTTCTTAATTGTCAGAAGGCATGTGGACTTACCAGAGAAAGAAAGAGGGGAAACAGCCCCCCAAGGGGCATGATCAGACCACAGTCCCTTTCCTCTGCCTCTCCGCCCTGCCAGGGTTCGGGGCGCACATGGATTTGTGCCTGACATGTTTCTCCAAGTTACCGGAGCCGGGATTTGAAGCATGGGCCACGTGAGATCTGGCTACTGTAACTGTTAGGCTATGGGCTGGCCAATGCTTGCTTTCACCCTCCTTTCTCCCACGAGATTCAGTCCCACAGAGAGCAGCCGCAGTGTGCTGTCATAACCCACAGCACAGCACAGGGGACTTCAGAGCCCATGGGAAATGGAGTTAGGGCCTGCTGTGAGCCGTGTCAGCGTGCGTCGGATGGACAGAGGGCGAAGTTACTCCTGTCTTCACTCCGCTGTCTTGTCTACACTCAAGTCCCCGGTACCACCCTTCAGGTAACAGCCTTCTCGCTCCACAGCCGACAAAGCGCCCTGGAAGCCACAGCCCTCTGGAAAGTGCGTCCTCACAGACCCGCAGGGCCCGGGTCTTCCGCTCAGCCCCTTCACTCCGGACGGCGGGACGCCAGGAAATGTTCATCTCGGCCCTGGCTTAGCCTGGACTTCTTACATCAATGAAATTTCATGGTCTGGTAATTTCTTTTCACCTAAATGCCCTCTCTGACAGGGAAAAAAAAAGGGCTTTCGGACAGAACATTTTTGCCAGTAGAAGATAAAATGAAAAAGTGTCATAATTTGCCTCTGCTTTGAAAAGCAATCTTGTGTTCTCCCTAAAATAAAAATGGTTATAGGACAAGCCGACTCCCCTCTACGAACTTCTTTACACACCTTCTTGGGTCACTTTTTCAAATGAGCACCTCCAAAGAATTCCAGAGCAGGACTCGGCTGCCCGGGGGCTCAGCTGTTCCTTCTGCTTGTTGTTATTATTTCTAGAGAAATGTTTCCTATAGGGTGTGTGCACGCCAGAGAGACAGAGGAAGTGAGAAGTCAAACCCCGGGGGCATGGCCACACTGCCATCCCTTCACCTCCAGTCTTCTCCAAACACACACGTGCCTGGCTTGAGTTTCAAGCCTTTGGATTCAGGACTCACACTGCGGTGGGCCACGTGGGGGTCCAGCACCTTAACCAGTCCAACACCTGCTGGCCCGTTATTTCATCATCGCTAATTTCCAAGATTTCACCAGAGGATGTGCAGGCTTGCCTGCGGGAGGCAGGAGAGAGCAGAGGAGTACCCCACGGGGCAGTCCCGCTGCAGTCCCTTCTCCTCCACCTCTGCCTCCCGTCGGGACTCGGATGCATGCACACGCACCGGTGTGTTGTCCCAGCTTCCAGGCAGATGCACACTGACAAGCAGACATGAAGCCCTGCTGCGGCTCCGTCTGTCCCCAGTCTGTCACTGTGGTCCTCCGTCCAGGGTGCTGCGTCTTCCCTGCCAGTCGCCTTCACGGTCACTGTGCGCCTGAACTTAACTCTGGAAGGAGAGAGAAACACGAGGGCGGGAGCCTCAGGACCACCACAGCGTCACCAGAGGCCAGGGGCCAGCTCCGGGCTACTCTAGGAACTGGAAAAACAACGTACGAGTCCCAGTTTGAAGGGAGTCCTTGCCAAGAACCAATGCGCCCACACAGAATTGCATGGACGTTCAAAGAGCCCTGAAGGGCACAGAAGACTCATCTGCTTTTATTCCTGGGAGGGACCAGAGCCCTCCTCTTCCTTTTCCTTTCTCCTTCAACTTCTTCTGATCCTCCAGATTTTGTGTCATGCATTCGAGCTCCGTGTCAGTGCAGTTCCATTCTTAGCCCAGCACAGAGGTGAGCCGCGCACTGCACGATAATTAAGGACCGCGGTCTTTGGAGACGTGGGGTCGGACCTGGCTCAGATACCGGCCGTGGCCAGGACAAGGATGCTCTGCGCTGTTTCCTCGTACGTGACATGGGTGACACACTCACCTCAGAGGGTGGGGGCAACGGTAACCCGCAGATCATTGGGTGCAGGCCTGGCCAGGAGGAAGTGCTCAGGGGCGAGGTCTCTTCTCATGGTGACGGGGGTGCAGGGCTTCGCCTTTCCAGTCCTTCCTGTTTGGGAAAGGCCACGAGAAGACGGCTGCAGCGCGAGGTCACTGTGGACACGGGCAGGGACAGGGGACAGCCGTGGAGCTGCCTGCAGGCAGTGTGGCCACCCACCGCCGCGCAGTTCTGCCCCGTGGCTGTGCCCCTCTGAGCACATGGTCCTGCTCGCTTCCCCGTCTTCCCACCGCACAGGGCCGAGAGCGTAGTGGGTGTCCAGGAAGCTCGTGCTAAGGAGTAACCGCGTCAGGACCGGGCCAGGGTCCCTCGTTCTGCTTCCTAATTGGAACAGGAAGGAGGAAGTGCAGCTGGTTTGTCGGGACGGGCAGGCTGGCCGCCGTGTCCGCACCCACGCCCCTGCAGCAAGGTTGCACACACCCACGCCCTGCAGCAAGGTTGCACACACCCACGTACCCTGCGGCCTCATCTGCAGAGGGGCTGACACAGTCAGGGGTCCTGTGCCCTGAACTCACCAACGAGGACACAGGTTCACGTACTGAGGGGCGGGGGCTTCAGGGTGGGGCAGGGCGGGAGCTCAGCCAGGAGGGCACGTAGATGCCTGACTCACCACTTAGAGCCTTCCGAACTCCCTGGGGAAGGTCACGTGGGAGTTTTCAGACTGCAGTGAAAGACATACTTTAAACATCACGAGCCCCAGTGACTGGATGGCTGAAGGCTAGTGCCCGGCAGTTGGTACCGCTTCCTGAAGCAGGGGGGCAGGTCCCAGCGTTCCTCAGGGGTTCCTGGGACGCGGGTCCTCTGGTTTTAAAGCCGGGACAGCCCAAGGGAACGAGACCAGGTGGCCACCCTAACACTGACCGCGCCTTCTCAGCTGACAACGGCGACCAGTCCTCGGTGCCTGGAGGGGGAGGAGGCCAACTACACCCCCTCTCTCAGGGTCTCAGGACGGGGTCGCTCTGCAGGCCCGAGTGGGCCAAACCCAGCAGCTGGCTTGCTGCTAGGTCCATGCAGGGTGGGACATGAGGCGGCTCTGGCCATTGTACCTCTCGGCTCAGGCAGAAACTAAGCACCAGCCTTAGATCCAACCACAATCCCCTTCGCTATGTTCGGAGCCTGAGCTCAAGGAAGCTGGGGCTGGCTAGGGAGGCACTGGACGCGTGGTGGGCCGAGGGACACGGGCTGGGGCTGGCTAGGGAGGCACTGGGATGCGTGGTGCTCACACGGAAGGGCCGAGGGGCCTGCTCTCTCCCTGCACGCACATGGCTGTGTTGAGGGAGGGTTATGGTGGCCGGCTGCCCAGTTTATTGAAAGCCATAGCATTCCATCCCATGAGCTTCTCACAAGAGGGAAGTCGCTACGGGGTGTCCCGTGGGGAGGATCAGGAGGCCCCCCACGACGATGTAGCACCAGCAGCACCAGGCAGATCTGCACAGGCAGAAAGCAGAGCTGCCGCTGCTCGGGCTGGTGACAGCGGGGAATGGGCGGACAGCTCGCAGGGATGGGGTTCCTTCTGGGGGTGATGAAAATATCCTAAAATCGACGCGGTGATAAACGCACAGCTCTGACTACGCTAAAAACTATCGCATTGCACGTGTGAAACGGGTGATTTTACGTCTGTGAGTGATAGCTCAGGAAACTGTTATGGACAAAATAATCTTGCCTTCTAGCAAAACGTTCTCTTCGCCCAACCAATCAATAGCAACAGTCATCCCATCCAAACCTCGAACAACTCAGTGAACCAGAACGATCACAGGAAACCTCCCCGGATGACAGACCGGATTCCGTCCCCGGCCAGGCTCTCCTTCCTCCTGGAGTTTGCAAGCCTGGGCCTCGAACCGGCAGCACCATGGGCAGCTCCCTGGCTGTGCCTGCAAGACCAGTTTGCTCCCTAGACCGAAGCAAAACGCGTGGTGGCAGTGCCTCCCACTGTGTCGAAGGAAGCCCTTGGTGACCAAGCGGCCATCTAGGTGTGATGGGAGGGTCCTCACTAGGAATCGTGCTGCATCACTCACGGACCGAGGAGGGAGAAGCTGGCCACTGCTCTGCTCCAACGGCCACAGTCAAACTCTTCAGCAAAAGCTGCGTTGTCAGGGAGGGGGACAGGGACTCACCCAACATACGGACTTGTCAAGATGAGGTCGTTTGAATGACAACTGGCGTCACACCAGTAAGTAGACACCTTCTCTCCCCCTGTCTATGCACTACAATACATTTTTCAGAGGTCCGACCAAGGTTATGAGGCTTCAAGGACCCTTCCTTAGCTATCGATTTTAGGAGTAAAAAAAATGAAAACAGCAAACATCCTTGGAGTCTTTGCGAGGATCTCCCGGCTGGGCGTGCTGCCCTCCCCTGGAACCCACGGACATGGGGAAACCAGGCAGTGACGAGGGTGTTCTTCCTCTGCGGGGTCTTCTTGGCCACGTGCGCATCACTTTGGACAAAAGCCTTTGCAATATGCTGCTACACAGTTACGCTGATCAAAAACACAGGCGATTGGCAATCTAACATAGACTCTATCTGCTGAGTCTGTGCTGGTCCACCCTGCCCAACAAAGGTAAGGAAAACAACTTCGCATCCCTCGAACAGTTTTCTCTGTTCGTTTTGGAGCATCAGTTTCTCCTCTTGGGGGACCACCGCACAGATGAGCAGTTATCCCTGGACGATGTCTTTCTTTACCTGGGGCTTGCCCGACTCCCTACCATGCAGCAGCATCGCGCCCAAGGCAGGGATGCAGCCGCTGAGTGTCCCCATGTCCAGGGTGGGCTCTGCTCTGCCGGCTGCGGGCCAGATGGGCAGCCCTTAGCAATGACCCACCCACGGCGCAGACCCTGCAGTGGTGAAGGGTCAATGGCAACCCCTTCCCCACAGCAGGCTCTGACAGCCCTCCCAGTTGGGGAAGCCCAGCAAACACCAACAAGGCTGGAGGGACACAGAAAACCAGGAACGTTACTACTTACAGAATGGGTTAGTTGGGGCCAGCAGGTGGCTCAGACGCTGGATTCCCACATGGCCGACCATGGCACCCAGAACCCCTAGAGGAGAATGGGGACCGGATTGCAGCATGGCCATCCCTCTTGAGGGGTGATTTCGTACTTCCCTTTCACATCTCTCCCTTTCACATCTCTCCCTTTCACTGTCTCTGTCTCTCTACAGTGAGTGCACGTATCCTATGGGGGGAAAAAAAAAACTAAAAAAAACAAAGAAAAATGGATTAATTGACATTGGTTCTAAGAATTGATCTAATAGACAGGAACATAATTTATGTTTCATTTAGGAAAAATTACCACTTAGTCCTCAGAAATGAACAGTAGCTATAAATCAAACAGAAGCGCAGGACACAGAAAAAAGGGAAAATGTAAAAGGAAATGAGTAAAAGGGAAGAAAAGATAATCAAGTCAAGATTTAAGACCGTTGGTCTTATCCCAAGAGGCAGCCTATACTCAGAAAAATCCTCTCCTCGCCCTCCTGCTGACAGTCAAAAGCTGTCCTCAGCAAAGTGAATATTGAATTAAAATGGAAAATGTCTCTTAGCAGGCCCTAGTTTTACATTTTAGTTCTTTATTAGAAATATAAACAGGCTATGAGCTCTGTCTCTTTTTATTTGTCTTTTTGCATTTTTTTTAACAAATAATTTTTGGTAGCTTGTCCGTATTATACTGTGACTCATAAAATAACCTTCCTGATTTCACCATTCCATGTCTTAATCTGCACCCCTGCCCCAGAGTTTATTCCTCTGACTTTGAAAATCCGCCATCAACAACAGCTAAAAAAAAACCTCTTGATACAAAAAACATTCCTTCCCGGCTTAGACCTTTTAGCTGGGCTATCATAGGGCCCCAGGCCTCCCCCCTGTCCCTACCAGCAACACCACTGTCCAGAGAGGCCTACACCTTGTCCTTGAACTTCTCCAGGTAGTTTCCGAGTCCTTCGGGGGCGCCCACGCCCACGCCCGGGCGCCCCCACTTGACCTCCTCCCCCGTGCTGAGGATGGAGTTCACAGTTGGGCAGCCGTCGTCGGGCGGGATGGTGGTGAAGGTGGAGAACTTCACCTTCTTCCTTTTGGAGGTGGGGGAGTGCAGGGGCTCCTGCTTGCCCCCGGGGTCGGCCGACCTGTGGCCCTGGCTCTGCGCCGGCTTTTGGGAGCTGCCGTTGAGCAGGAGGTGGCTGCTCTCCTCGCAGCCCCCGAGTCCGAGTCCGCGGTCGAGGATGGTGGTGCGCTCGTCCTGGGGCGGTGACGTGTCCCCCACGTTCTCCAGGAGCTCTGCCTCGTTGCCGAGCCACACCCAGTCGTGAGAGTGGCTCACGGAGGCCGGCCCTTCCAGGGGCACCTGCTTGTGCCTGTACTTGAGCGCGAAGGCCGCGCAGTTGATGAGGAAGACCAGGATGGCCAGGCAGAAGACGCCCAGCAGCGCGTACATGCCGGTCTCCAGGTCGCTCAGGCCCTGGGACGCCGGTGTGAGGCCGTTCTCGTCCGACTCCCCGTGGCTCCTCGGGAGGTCCGCCTGCGATGGGGAGCTGGCGAGGTCGACGGGGATGGTTTGCAGGTGGCCCCCGTCATCCAGAAGGCTCTCCTGGCCGCTCTTCTTGCGGAAGGCCGACCTCTCTGTGGTGGCGCCTCTTCCTTCCATGTACCCCACGGAAGAGCTGCTGTAGGGCTGGCCTGGGCCTCCCCATTCGTGCAAGGGCTTCTTGGGTCCTCTGTCACTGGCGCTGGCTTCCAGGGGAACGCCCGCCCCGGCGTTCCTGCCGTCGCTGGCGTTGGGGGTCGCGTC